CATGGAGAGAGTGTAAAGCCAGAGCTGAGCTCGGCCCTGGCCAGACCTCCCAGGTACCTCCTCTTGCTGGGAATAGAGGACCTTTACTGCTGAGGTCCAGGTTCCTTGCAGTGGCCTGCAAGCTCAGTGAACCTGAACAGTCCAAGCGAAACCCAAGCAAAGCCACACAGTTTGAAACACTCTTGGAATAAAACCCCCTCCCTGGTGTCAGCGTGGTGCTCAGAGGGAGAGGCAGAGCACGGCAAACTTGGCTCTGCTTTTCCCCAAGCTTTCAGGAAACTCCTTGCAGCGAGGCCAAGAGCTACGTTCATAACAAAACTTAAACCCAAGCAAAATTTATCACGTTTTGAGTTTCTTCATGAAAGGTTAGACCAAGTTGGGATGCACTCTTCTGGGATAAAAGAAGAGATGGAGTCTGCCCTTAAGGGCTGATTTCATATCCACTGAAATCACATGCAAAACTCCCAGGAAAGCAAGCCTAAACTTTTAAATACTGCTACAAAAGCAGCTACCACAATTCTCTGTCATTCTAGTTAACCATCTATAAACAGTTACTCACTTGACCTCTATTTGATCTCTCCCTCTGCCCTCCAAGGAATCTTTCAGGGCCAACATACATTATGGATATGTCTGTGTACATGAATGTTGGAGGCTATTTTACTACTATGAGAACAGATCTCTTGCAATTCTATCTGAAATCTGGTTGTTTGGGGAAATTGTTTTTTCTTTCTACAGACAAATCCAACAAATGACTTCTCTTAGTTTATACTGGTCTGCTGAAAATACTTAATTGCTCTAAGTACACAGGATCTTTGTAAAGGATGATTTTGGAATCCTGCCATGGCAATAAGAAGGGAAAATAGTTGTAACACTTGAAACGAGAAGGTCAAAGACAGGAGTCAAGAAAGATCTCCAACCCACACTACAGTTGTCCTTTTCTAGCTGTTGCTTGAATGTGCAGCAAGACGACAAAGTCTTCAAGCTTTCACCTGATTAATAGTCTTGGGGGAAAAACATTCTGTAGGAATGCTGCAAGGGTAAGACTGCTATTTTAAAAAAAGAATTCTTAAGCAAAACAAAAATGACAGTAAGATGAAAGTAAGTTAAGGTCATATAGTAAATAAAGGAAGAATTTTATATGGATGCATTTGTTTGGTTGGGTTGATTTTGTAGGTTTCTTTTGGTTTTGATTTTATTTTTTTAATATGATAAAGAATTTCAGAGTTAAATAATGAGATAATGCAGATGCATAGAAATATTGAAGCACATAAAATCTTCAAGTACTCTTAACTCTGCACACTAAGGATAGAATGCACTAGCTAATATCAATTTTAACATTTTAGCATCTTTTATTTCCTTCCTGTCACAGAGTCATACAATAAGGAAATAAGCTGTATAAACATGCTTTAAAAAACATGATCTTAAAAAAAAAAAATATCTGCATCTAAAGATTATACTAAACTGCTATAGCCATTATTGTGTGGGCTAGTAGATGCCCAAACACAGAAATAAAGTTGATTTTGTATCTTTATGGTGCAATCTAACAACCTAATAAATACAGATTTCTAAATGTAATTTTCCTTAACTCTAGAACCCAAAGTAATATTTTGTAATGTATTTTACTTGAAATTGGTGAGATGCACTGTTTACCTTAATTCCACTTAAATACAGATTCTGTGTGAACACTACGGCCATCCAAAAAAGTGATGCATTTAGTTACAGATAGTAAGTCCAGGAAACTTTAAGGAAGATCTCAATGAAATTGCATTAGTGAGAACAAGGTGAAAACAAGGTTACTATTTTCCAACCTGAGGACATTCAATTTAATTCTTGACTCACACAAAAATTTCTTAGTTGTGCTGGCCAGAAATGGCTTGTTTTAGACATAATCTATGGGAGTTTGAAACAGCTTCAGATAATGATTTCATTGCTGTGTTATGCCAGTCTAAAATTATAAGTAACAGAAATGTTGCCATCTCCTCATTTAAGAGGAAATGTAATTTGATACGAACTCACTAAAAATTTGGACTATTTTATTATTAAAAAAGGCTGTCTCAAGCCGTGTTGAAGTCAACAGTAGGTCTATTTAAGGTTTCTGAATTCATCCTTTCTTTGTTAGCATTCAGATAAAAGATTGAATTTACTGGCTATTAAGGAGTTCTGGTTGCAGCTGTTTGGGGGGAGAAGGGGGAGAGGGAGATATTCAGCCACCCAGATCATTGAGGGGTGTAGGCTGGATTTTCTGAGCATTCAGATAAACACTGGTCAATTCTGTGGGAGTTAACATTAAGTTGAAACGAATTTTTCAAGGAATTTAACACTTGGCAAGTGATTTGACTTTCCTTTTAAATGTTCAGTTCGTTGAGATCTCCCTGAGTTCCTAGTTCTAGTTTGGGGCGGGGGTAAACCACGAGACTCACATTGAGAAGGGGTTTTGATGTTTTGTTTTGTTACTTTATGCTGCTTAAACCTTAAGCTCATGAGCTGTATCCTAGGTAGCAGTTTCTGCTTGACGGGAAGAAAAACCAAAAATCGTCGTTCATGAAAATCGCTCGGAGTTCATTCAGAAGAGCTCGATTGTTGCCTGGAGACCTCTTCTCCACCCAGGAGCAGGGTGACGGCGCGAAGCGGGCAGGCAGCGCCGGGCAGGGCTGGGCGGTGCGGGCTCCGTCCCTCGCTGTCCCCGCTCGGCGGGCTCGGCTGCACTCGCACCCAGCACCTCCCCTCCGCCCGGGAACACCGCCGGGACACGGCCTGTGCTGCTCCGGGAAACGGCCCTGCCCGAACAGCCCCGCTGTCCGCTCTCTGCCCGGCGGGGAGCGCCCCGGGCTGGGCACGCCGGGCGGGCAGGGACACACGGCGCGGAGCCCCCGCGGGTCGCCCCGCAGCCTGACCGGGGCTGGGTCAGCACGGCGGGGTGGCGGATCCACCAGGCTCCGGGGACTTTACCAAGTACCTGGACCCCCTTCCCTGCCCCTCCAGGATCCCCCTCCCGGGCTGGCTGCGGGGAGTCGGGAGGCTGTGGAGGGATGGTGCCGGGTGCGGCGTCCGGTCCTCCTGTCCCACTCTCCTCGGGAGACTTGATCGCCCATGAAGAGGGGGAGGAGGAGGACAGGCGAGGCTCAGGGGGACCGAGGCATCCTCCTGCCTTGTTGCTGGTTCACTCAGCTATCCCGAGGTGTAGAGGGAGCCCTTTCATCTGCATGCTGTGACTCTTAGACTCAGCTCCGAAGGTGTGTGCAGACATTTCCTAGAACCCAACTAGTTTTCACCTTCAGTTACAACACGCCTGCATGTCTCGGGATGCCATGGGGGAGACTGCTACAAAGATTTGGCTCTGATTTGATTCCACGTTTATCCAGTCTCTTTGATTATATACTTGAGATGTTTCTCTCTGTGGCAATAGCAACAGCAAAGACATGCTGTGTTTAAGTGTTATTACTCCAACTAATTGTGACTCTAAGTGTGGTGTGGACATAACAGTGTCACTGCTAAGCGCAGTGTGGATGTCCTCGTGTGCCAGTGGGAGCACTTGTGGGGACAGCAGGGCTCCTAGCAGTGTTTGCAATTACAATGAGCTTCTCCCATCCCTGCAGAGTGTCACAACTGTCACGGCAGCAGTAGCCAGGCTCACAGCACTGGTTACAGCTATTGGTCCTTTCAGTGCATCAAGTTCGTGCACTACTGTGCTTCCTCACCTAAAACAAAGGAGGGCATCTGGGAGCAAAATCAGCCTAAACAAATTCAGTGCTCGTTGGTAAGGAGGCGCTAAGAAATACAAATAACTAGATTTAGGGAGTTGGATGTGTGTCTTTGTCAGGTAGGGATCCTGTTCATCACCAAGCATCACTGCAAGCATTTCTCCTGCCCTTTAGAAACAATCTTTTCTCAGTGAAACGGCCACCGGTTAGCAAGATGCGACATTTGGACTCCAGTGTCCAGCCTTGTGCTCTGTGTCTGAGAGAACTAGTAGTTACCTAGGGTGCAAGACGACCATGCAGGTGCTTTTGGTGGCATCGTGTCCCTGTCCTTTAAGCACCTCCACACAAGGATTATCTGTACCCACTCAACCTGGCCCAGCCGAAGGTGCCTGTAATAAATGCAGCCAAGAAGAGTCCAAATTCAATCAAAGTTTCGATGTTTATTTTAAATTTTTAATGGCAACAAACAGGGTCCTGTAGGCTTGGGCTGCAGACAGCGAGGACATGCTTAAGTTATTTACACTTGACAATACTGTAATAGCTGAGGGAAAGCGACACCCCTGGGCATCTGAGCTCTGCGGGGCAACCGGGGCTTTCAGCCGAGGTGCCAGGGAGTCCAGTGGCATCTGCAATACAAAGGAAGTGGAATGTTGGCAGCAAATGTACTACTGGGTTGATTTAATACAGGGAAGAGGTGGTGTTTAGGGCCAAACACGAAGATGCAAAAAATAAAAGCTTCTCTCTCCTCTCTCTCTCCCTCTGCCTTTTCTCTCCTCAAATGCCCACATAAACTTCTGCGAAGATTCTTCATGCGAGGCACTGTACGCGATGCCCAAGGCGCCAGTGTAAACCTAAATTCTCGCCCACGAAAGTGAAGGGGAAATTTTCGTCTCTCCCCGGTGTGAACACTTAAGGGATGCATCCCATACCGCTATCCCGGTTCCAGCAGCTCTGCTTCAGGAGCCGCCGTGCCGGGGTGGCACAGTTTGGTGAGGAAACAACTTTCTTGCCCCGGCTGGGGCTGGATGGGTGGCGGTGATTCCGGTCACCGCCGCAGCCCCGAGCCGCCGGTCCCGCGGGGGCTCGGAGCGCGGAGCTGGGGGGACAGACTCTGCCTGGCGAGAGGCTGACGGAGCGAAGCGAGAAGCCCTCGCTCTTTTGGTTTCTTTCCAACCATTTTTAGCAGAGGAAGGATGTAATAACATGCCACGGGCAATAAATCACAGTCTAGCTACTCCCCCTGGCTCTCCTCCCCCCGCCCCCGGCCCCTCTATAGCGGGAGGGGCGGAGGGGCCGCCAGCAGAGCGCTGCGGCCGCCGGGACGAGCAGAGCAGAGCAGAGCAGAGCAGAGCCTGCCCGCCGCCTCCAGCCCCAGCATGGACCTCCGCGCCCTGGCGCTGCTCGCCTTCGCCCTGGCCGTCATCTCCCTCTCGGAGGGTAAGTGAGCTGCGGGGCCGCGCCGCTCCTGCGGGAACCCGGCCGGGAGCGATGGTCCCGCGGAAAGCTCCGCTCTTCCCCCCTCTCCCCACAGCTGCACCGCTCTCCCGGCTCGGGCTCCGGCCGCGGCTCAGATGTGTCTGGTGAGCCAAAGCGATATCTGTGCAAAGCTGGAAGCAGACAGGCTCCCGTTCCTCCCTCTCCTCCATCCCTCCCTGGCTTTTTTCAAAAAGCTGGCCAAAGCGGTCCTCTCTGCCAAACTCGCCCCAGATTGAAGTCGTCTGGGGGAAGACTTTCAACAGCGCTCTGTCTGCAGGGAGGTGGTTTGGCTGCTAAATATGCATATCGACTTTCCCTCTAACAAAAAAAAAACCCAACCCTAAAAGTTACAAGGAATTAGAAACAGGCAGTTGTTCGGTACCTCTCCTGTCCCCTATCGTGATCTATCTTTCCCCAATCAGGGTAGAGCTGAGCCAAAGCGGTCGCGGCAGGAATTTAGCGCGGCCCCGGCGCGGTGCACGGGGAGGTTTGGGGGCGCAGGGAGCTGCAGTGACGGGAGGTCTGGGGGAGCAGTCACACCCGCCCGCCCCACGCCGCTCTCGCGTGTCGCGCCCGGAGCCCGGTGGCAGCTGCAGCCGCCCCGCTTACTCTGCCAGCTGTGCTCTGTGGAAGCCTCTGCGTTCGGACAGCCCCGGAGACAGCGGACACCCGCGCTTCTTGCCCCGCATGTCGCGGGGAGCCCTGTGCCCCGGGGCTCCGGGAGGGGCGGGAGTTCTGCCCGCAACAGCTGGGCATCCTCCGGACGCTCCTCCTGCGGCTGGCAGAGATTTGCCGTCTCTTGTCCCCTCGTCTAATGTCCTCTGTCCGGGTTTTCAAACCTCCGCTCCCATTCTCTTCTCCTTTTCTGGCCAACGAAACTTGGGTGTTCCCCGCCCAGGGAGGTAGAGGATGCCCTCCGGTGCCCTCCTTGTTTAGCCTGGGAGAGTTAGTTTTCCCCGAAGATTTCCCGATGTCTTTCCGCACAGCAGCCCCGTCCCGCTGGAACACGGAGCCGGCGCTGCCCTGGAGAGGCTCCAAAGTCCCGGGCAGGTGGGCTCCAGCCCCCGCCGCCTGCGCCGTACCCACCACCCCGGGGCTGCGGGCTGGCAAGCGAGAGCGGCAGGTAGCGAAGGCAGAGCCGGGGCACCACGGTGGCAGTGCCAGCTCCAGCCCCTGGCTGCCAACGTCACCAGCTGCCAGCGGCTGGGACCGCCGGTGCCTGGGAGCCTGAGCGGGCTTCCCTCGCCTCTGGAGGCGAGTGCAGGTCTGGAGGGAGGAAGGGACAGGGGCTCTCCTCCCCCTTACCTCCCGCTGGCAGCCTTTGCTCAGGGCTGGGGGGCCGGCAGAGCTGCCCAGCTGCCCCGCGGCTCGCCCCCAGCGCCGCAGCTCTCCTTCGCTGGCAGCGGGATAACCTGGTTACCTAAGGAAGGAAATGGCTCACAAGGGCTGGAGAGAAACTAGTGTAAGGAAAGTGACCCCACCGTCCTGGGTGTACTTTGCATGTCATGAGGTGCTCTCAGTCCTGATCCAGATAAGGGCTTGCAGAGCTGCCTTGTGCTGGGGTGTAGGTGAGCTCTGAATTCTTCTTAGTTACCTGGTAAAGCTGTGTCTGTCTATCCCAGCTTTGCTTTCCTTAAAAAGTTATCAATCATCTCCTGATAATGACAAATACACCCTAGACTGAACAGAAGTAAGATTATTTCCTTGAATGTTTTGTCTGTTTATGTCCAGTCTGCTTTCCTGGATATAGCTTCCTTCTCTATTCAAGCACCCAGAGCTTCCTAGTCCACACAGCATGTTACTAATAACTGCAGCAGAGCTGGCAACTGACTTCTTCCCTTACTGTCCCGTTTCAGGCTAAAGAGAAGCAGATCCCTGTGGGATGAAATAGGTATTGTCCAGCACTGACAAGTGGCCACTCTATGAGAGCACTTTGTGTGTGCTTTGTCTCTAGAGAGAATTTGTCAGCAAAAGTAGATGTTCAGAGCCAACAAAACTCAGCTTGAGTTGGAAAACAATAAAACTGTTTATTCTTTAAAAAATTCCAAACCACAAACTTCTAGTTGAGGCCAAAAGAGATATTCTCTTTTTGTCTAAGTAAAATTAGGTTGAAGGAATGACATTGAGATGTCAAACTAGCATCTGGCTGTTCTGTAACTTTTGACTCTATTAATCCATTTGAACCAAATGTGCCAGACAGATAAAGGTCTCAAATGCTTTGTGTGCCATCAGTTATATGTTTTCATGCAATAAGGCAATTAATAATTTATACTAATTTGTTGTACTGAGAGAATGGCTTCAGCACAGCTTGTGCTTGGTGTTTGGTAGATGTCAGAGAACTCACAGCACAAATTGGTAGATTAATTAATCAGCTCTAATGTACATGCAACAACATGTTTCACATTTTGAAAAGAGATAAGGAATGTGTTTTGTCAGCCTCAGAGGAAGACCAGAAATGTTCTCTTCCTAAATTACAGCCTCCAAATGGCCCTTCCCTCTCCTACTTTTGGAAGATAGAGGTTTATGTGTTGGAAGGTGCCACATGCTCCAGTTTTCCCTGGTTTTGAGCCTTGTTGATAGATAGCACGGCAAGACAAGGAGCAGTGGCAGGAGTCAGTGACTCCCTGTTGGGGATACAGAGAGCTGACCCAGTGGGTGCAGCTCCCTCGTGCTCAGTGCCTGCTCCTGATCACTTTCTTTGGAAAGAAACCAAAAGGCACACAAAAATACCAAAGGGATTCTTGTGCTGGGAGGGGATTTGTCATTCCACTGCAGAAGGGGCAATAGCACACTGAATACTGGGGCTTCCTCTCTTCGTGCTGTGCTAGGTGCCTTTTCTTGGGCGGGAAACAACCTTGGGACTTACAGACATGTTTAGTCATGGTTAAACTTTCTCTGCTCCTGATTTCAAATGGTATGGGATTGAAAATCCCACCTCGAGTCTGAGAGAGGACAGGATTGCATTATCAAATCATGGATCAGAACAGTTCATCTCTTGCATGTTGTTTAAGTTAAAGCTGGCTTAAACTTGGTTGGGACAAGCTTGCAGAGACACTATCACTGCAGCTGTGCTGAGTTGAATGACTGTATTCAGTTTCAGCCTCCCTTTCCAATACAAATTCACAGATGTGTAGCTATCAGGCACAGATTTGCAGTGGGAAATCCTAGTGCCTTCCTCACTGCTTTCCACATTAGCACTAGGCAGTCTAATCCATGTTCTCGAGGCTCACTCTGTAGCCCTTCTTCCTCCTCCCCCTGCAGATTATTAACTCATAGATGGAATCACTGTTTGCAGTGGCAGAAAACTGATTGAAAAGTCCTTCAATTTTTTAATTTATAGTCCACATTCTGGTGTGAATCAGGAGAAGCTCTATTCCCACTGATTAATTCCTCTCCTGTGGGATCTGATTCTGCCTCATCTCTTGGTAGAGACACCGAAAAAAAAAGGGGCTTCCTCCTCAGGACGGGCCAGTTTCACCCTGTTGTCTGTGGTTATGGTGCTAGAGACAGGCACTGATAAACGTGCAATATATGTAGATCTGCTGCACTTGAAAACCTGTCTCTTTTCTCACCTTCTTAGACAGCTGTTTAGGAATCCCAATCCCTTCCCGGCTCTTTATCTCCCCATTTGCCTTGAAAGGGAACTGGGTTTCGATGCTGCAACTATTCCTGTGTGGCTAAACAAACAGGATGGCAGATTGCCATATGGGATCGCAAGCCCTGCCAGATATATATCTGACCATCTACAGCATGAGCCAGATTTTAAGGGTTAGGTGTACAAACTTAATTCCTCCCAGAGGCTGAAAACTGGTCCACTGGGAAATTCTTTAAAATCTTAGGCATCTCTTAAGACTTCCAGGCAAGGCTTCTGTGCTTGTATTTTATTGTGCATGGAGCTTTCAAACTTACGGTCCGGCTGAAGACCTTACTTAGGTGCACTTGATTGCCAATAATAAAGTTGTGCCATAGAGAAACGGGGCAGCAGAGGCTGTGGTGGGCGCCAGACTACTTTTCTCAGTCCTGCATGCATATACATGGCGGATATTTAGCCTAAGGGGTTAAACTTAATTCTGTCCCTAGTGATGCCAGTGACGGAACTCTCATCCAGTCTGGTGGCCCCTGAATAGTGTATTGAGGATGCCCTGGCTGATAACTGTCTCCTCCATTGCCTTACTTAGCCTCAGGCTAGAAATTCAAAAGACTCCGGGTGTCTTATGTGAAGCCGCTGGGATGTCGCATCTCTGAGCCGCACCTCCTTGTGCGGGTACCTCTGCTGAGAGTCAGGGCTGGCTGCGGTGGGGAAAGGTCAGCTGGGCCCTGGGAACGCCTGCGAAACCAGAGCTTTTCTGTAGCCACTAAGTCCCCTGTGAAAAGCCTGCACCTGAGCCGCGCCGTTTTGATCTGAACACCCTGGAATTCATCTCTTTCTTCTGGCTACCTTCTAATTTGGCCTCGGGTCAAAATCGTTTGAGTAGAACAACACCGAGGACAAGTGCCCCCTCTTTTGGCCTTTATCTTGTCTAATTACGGGGAGCATCCCTGTACAATGGCGCGGCTCCTTATTCTAATCTCTTTCGATTTTACTTATCTCCATTTTCTCTCCCTCTTCTTTTGTCTTCCAAAATCCCACGCACCCGTGTTGAAAGGCTGGGCACTGAGCTGAATGGATTGTGCTCTGAGCTGTGGGCAAATGCTCTCCCAAAGCTACAGCTTTTCTGCTGCTTTTTTTCCCCACCTGCATATTTGGAGGGCCTTTCTTTCTGTGAGCCCTGATGCTGTGAGCACTGACGGGTGTTTCTGTGCTGGTGACAGGAACAAGGGGTAACGTGTCCTTTCCCTCTCTTTGTCCCGCAGAGAAACCCGTCAGCCTGACCTACCGATGTCCCTGTCGATTCTACGAGAGCAACGTGGCAAGAGCCAATATTAAGCACCTCAAAATCCTCTCCACACCCAACTGCTCACTTCAGATTGTGTAAGTGTCTTGCTCTTTTCAGCTGGGTGCAAATCTGGGGTGTCAAAAGGAAGGGTCACAGAGCTGGTGCCTGCTCTGGTGGTTGAATTTCAGTCTGCCTCCTGCCATGACTCCCAATTCATCTCTTCACCCCTATGTCAGAGACAGCTGGACCCTGCTTTACCCCATGTAAAGGAGCCCAGCTGTTGTTTCCCAGCTGTGTTCGCTGTGATCTCCCTATTACTGCGTGATCCCGTGTGCTGTTCCCTCATGGGTATTTGAGCAGGAATGTCAGACAGGCTGCGCATTGCCTTGGATGTGGAGCTTCACACCTTGGGTCAAAACTTCATAGCGGTCTGAATCTTCTAATGGGTAATTTCTCCATGGAGTGGAGCTAAGCTAAAGAAGCAAAAGGAATCCCTGTGTTTCATGAATCCTCTGCAGGAGGTACAGACCCTAGAAATGTGATGGCTTAATCTAGGAATGCTTGCCAGGCAGGGACTGAGTCAGTAAACTGCAGCAGAACAGGAAAAATGGGCTCCCGATGGAAAATAGCATCTTTTTTTTCTTTTTTTTTTTTTTTTTTTTTTTTTTTTTTTTTTTTTTTTTTTTTCCTGGAAAAGCAACTCTCATTTTCAGGAAGCATTGGGATTTTGTTTGTTTGTCTTTGTAGATTTGTGTGTGTATGTTTTAGGAAAGTTTTTTTTCACTTCTTCATGGCTCACTCTCTCAAAATTCAAAACCTTCTGAAGGAAAAAAAAACCCCAGCATTCACCTTTTCATTGCAAGAGAACCTTAATACTCTCAACTTCTGTTAACCTCTATATGAGGGTCTCAGGGACTAGGTTTGGTTTCTGTGCAGTGATCCCGTTACTGGTTCTCTCTTTGACCCATATATTGAGCCCTTCCTCTTGCAACTCAAATGCTGTAAAAATCAATTTTTGTCATCCAAAAGTTTATTGCACTCAGAAAACTGATGTGGTTTCATGAGATTGCTCAGGAATGTATGTGAACGTGTATCCATTCATGAACCAATTTTTATTAGTATGGGTTTTTTTTCTGTCTTAAACCACTCTGTGTATATCATACATATTTTATCATGTGCTTCTGCCTTAGGATTTGGTGGAGGACAGTGAGAAAAATGTAAGCTTCAGCTGAGAAATAATTTCCTTTCAGAAAAATGGCAAAACCAGCTGTGACTAACTCCCATCTCTACCTACAAACAATTTTGGCAGCAAGCATGCACTAGTGCATGGATTTGTGGTCTGGGACTGTCAGTGATGTCATAAGAATCCCAGTGCTAAGGCTTTTTAGATGAATCAGAATTTTCTGGAATAGTTTCAAGAAAATGACAGCATTTAAGACTGGATAGATTATATATTTATCTCTTAACATAGGATTATAGTAATTAGAGATAAATAAGAGCATGAAATGCAGAAACAGAAACATCTCACGTTCTTGCCCATTCCTGACCCAAATGTGTTTGTGTGGGGTACACAAACCCTGGTTTTTTTACTTTGACAAGTAAGGCACTTAATACATCCCTCCAAATACCCTTTAAACATGACTTTAAACTAAGTCTTTATCAAAACAGGAGAAGAGATCAATCAAAACTAACACATGCATTTCTCATCTTGATTCATTTTAAGCATTAAACAACAAAGGCATAAATAAATTAAAAGCCGCCATTTTCAGGAACAGAGAACAAAGTGAAACATACAGTTGCTAGAAACAGTCCCTTATTGTTTGGGATTTTTTTGTTTTGGTTTAGGTTTCATGTTTGTTTGCTTTTTCACAAGTATATTTTCCTTTTTGGTTAAGAGCAATTGTATTTAAACAAAAAACCTAAGAGCAGGTTTTTGTCTTTCATTCTCTTGGAACTCATCTCTCCAAATCCAGTGAACTCCTCTGTCAATGTCTACTTCTACAAAGTCCACACTAAATTCCTTGCTTTTCAGTACAGGGAAATGAGCATTTTTAGCAAGCAGACACCTAAACCACTCCAGATTAAATAAACACTCCATACAATTTCCTATATCTCTTCCTTGCACATGGAACAGGGGCTGACAGGCTCAGAAATGAATGTCTGAAGAAATCAGTGTCTCAGTATTAGGTGAGAGGAATTGTGTTGAATGTGGCTGGAGACTGGTTACGTGTGCTTTTGCTTCTGTGCCCTGTGAGGTCAGCCTAAGAATTCCCAGGCATTGCTAACATCAGCAAATCCATTTTTACACACTGTTGGTATCACTTAACTGGAAATGCTCCAGCTTGGCACTGCTGTAAGGGAAATATGAATCAGGCCCATTCATCTCTGTGCTGGCTCAGGGGTTGCAAGACGGATCCTTGATGTGTTTATGTTACAACTGTGTTGTTGCATAACTTCAGACCAAGGAGCCTTTTTGACCTCTTGTTTCTTACACCATCGTTTTATATTCTGCAGATTTCGTTTTATAGAGGGAGGAACATTATGGCTTCCATCCAGCAAATGTTTAAACAAGTACTGAACTTATTCGTATGGGCACTTCCATAAAATTGCTGCTCTCTGCACTTTCCCAAGGCAGGCAGGCTGTTAAGCAGCTGGGGCAGAGGCAGGGTGCTGCAGGGAATGTGGGAGATAACAGCTCTTTCGAGGTCCTGAGATCCCTGGAGGGTGAAACCTGTTGATGAGAAGCTATTTGTCCTGTTTCTGAATGAAAGATTCTGAGAGCCCAAGTGTCAAATTCACAGAGAATTCAAATTAGCTAGAAAGTTTGCTGTGGGAAGTGCAGCTTGAGCATCCAGGAGAAACCCCTCAGGAGGTTTCTGCCTTTGGTTTCAAATGCTGAGTGAATACATGAGGGGAAACTTGCCTCTGGCACTATGGTACTTTCAGTTGTCTTCCTCCCTTCAATCTGTTAATTCAGTCTTGTACAAAACAAAAAGCTAACAAGTGACCACACCCTTTCTTTCAGAATGTCCACGAGGTGTCTTTCCTCAAAACATGTGAAACTTCAGTTTTGGGTTGAATTTAAAAGCTGTTCTTAATCAATTACTTGCAAAAATTACATACATTTACATGTCAGTATTTCCAAATGAAATTTTTGTGTTGTTGGCAGTGAGCTTGTTCACGGTCCAGGTATGAATTAGAAGCCTTAGATTCAAATTTTATGTCTGTTGCACTCTCACATGATTCCCAGTACAGACCACAAGAGCCTGTCAAAGGAGACAGATGGTTTCCAAGCCAGGGATATTTATAATGGGTGAGGGAGGTCAAGGATGGGAGAAATAACTCATCCTCTTCATGTGTTAACCAAAAGCAGCACTGGCACCCAAGGAAAATAAGGCACAGTGGGGGCTGGGGGGGTGTGGGCTGGGGAATTTGCACACCAGACTCACTCTGGCTTTTCTCCTTTGGCAGTGCAAGGCTCAAGAGCAACAGCAAGCAAGTGTGCATTGATCCCAAGTTAAAGTGGATCCAGGAATATCTGGAGAAAGCTTTAAACAAGTAAGGCAAGAGACAAATGGACTTAACAGCTAACATCCTGAATTATTAAAGGGTAGAACATTAAGGGCTGGCTTTTACCATGTGGACAAAGTACACACTTGTGGAATCAGATATTGTTTCAAAGAAGGGTTTGGAGTTGACATAATTTGTATTAAAACAACAATTTCTAATATATCTTAGATGTTAAACTAAGAATTTTGCCAGGGTTTGAGGCAAAAATTGTGCTAATGAGTATGTTCTGGGGTCCCAAACTCATCCTCTTCAAAGAAAAAAAGCTGTTCTCCCAAGGAAAATTCTCCCTTTAATGTCCTTTCTTCCCCAGCCAAACTACAATTACTTCAGAATCTATATAATTCCGGTGTCTTTGGAGCCCCTTCTCCATGTTACACTGGGTGTCTGCTTGCACAGGCAGCTGAGGCCTTGGGATCCTTGGTGCTAAAAATTGTTTCTCTGCTGCCCAGTGTGGAATGCTGTTAATGTTGGCCAAGGCACGATGAGCTACCATGAATAAGTCTTTCCCACAATACCAGGGGAAAAGCAGCCACACTTGGCAAATTCAGACTTTTTAAATCTGTCTTTATTCCCCTTGAAAATGGTTGCTCATGTCTACTTTGAGGTGGACTCAGCCCATCTCTGTTCCACGTTGTGCTGAGAAAAGCAGCACCGAGCACATTTTTGTGCTGAGCTGCAGGGGAGGGCTCCAGCCTTCCAGCACTGAAAGATGGTACATACCAAATGATGGTACAAAGCATTCCCTTGCTTGCCCAGATCCCTGGGCTGAGGTTGATCCAGCAGCAACATTTTGGCCAGCTAGCCTACCTGTGCACTCAGTACCCCTGCCACCCTTGCCATCACATTCCCACCCACAGTAACTGCGCTGTAACCCTGTTGAACCTTGTCCCCCCTGCATCTGTAGGGTGAAGGCAGGGCTGGAATCCAATCATTTGCCAAAACAATGTATTATTGGGGAAGGTATGGCCCCAGGGCAGATGAGTGGCACAGGTACCTGAATGGTCTCAGCTGTTTCCTTTGTAAATGCATCTGCCAAACAAGGGTCAGAGTTAAAAAAAGAAAAAAATTCTTTGTCCCCCTGTGTTTTCACAATAAGCAAGGGGGAAAATGCCACCAGAAGTAGAGAGATTCCTCCGTGTGTCCCTTTTGGGGACTGCAGTGGGGCCAAGAATGAGGAGGAAGAAGGAAGGAAGACAGCTAACTAAGTCAATGTGATTCCAGCCCTGACAGCTCCTCCCATCTCATCTGATGCTCAGTGCCTTCTTTGCTGCCAGCACTCAGCCCTTTTGTCCTCTGGACAAATTCTCTGCAGTTGTAATCCAGGTTAATGCTGCCAGAATGGCTTTGGGTTTAGGTAAGACTGAACCTAAGAGCAGGATGTGGCCCATGCTGAATATCCTAGGGACCTGAGCCACTTGGTTTTACAAACTGGGAAAACCTGCTTCAGTTTCTGTTTGCTATCATCCCCAGCCTGAGACTTAGGAGGTGTTTTAGACATCTGCAAGGTTGGGCAGATATGAAAATGTGCCTGCCTGACTTAGGGGAGCAACTCAGCTGGAACCTGTTCTGCTCTCACTACACTAGTGAAGATCTGAGACCAGCTCTACTGAAACCAGTGAGTCTGCCTGATCTCCAGCCAGATTCTGGGTTTTGTTTACCAAATGCTAATACAGAAGCCATTCTGCCAATTTGGTGGATTCATCCTGGTTTACGTTGAGTAACAAGAGAGAATTTGGTCCCAGCTCTATGAAATAAGATGACAGAAAGCATATATCTCCATCACCTAATCCTGTAATCGTGGCATTGTGTTCATTTTCCAACTAGCAATGCTAGCACCAGTGGCATTTTCATGCTCCACAGACAGTCAGGGCTCTGTCTGTAGCATTTTCACAAGGCACGTTTTTGATATGTTTTAGTGCACAGCTTTGACTTCTTCAATGAAATGTACTTTGGAATATATTTATAGCGCATCAAACAATTCATATATTTGAATTGGAGCCATATGAATGTTGGTAGTTTAAAACACCGATATCCCTCTAAACTACTAACAGCTTGTAAAATGAATCTATATAGATCTATAAATGTTAATGTAGCTATCAGTTTCAATCAGCCATATATTATATTTTTTCACTTGTACCGAAATTGTATGAAATGTGACATTACCCTATATGCACTAGCAATAAAATGGCTAATTGTTTTATGTTATGAAAACCCAATTGTACATGGGAATTTATTTTTTCTGGAATAAAATCAATACGTTTTGTAGAAAGGGCTCTTGTAGTTGCTTAAGTAGAATCCAAACTGTGAAGACATCTTAATCTATACCAATACTTCAATATGAAAATATCTTCAGTTTATAATCTGCAGCTAAGGCAAGAAAAAGTTCTTAAAATAGTAGTCTAATATAGTTAAATAAGAAACCAGAAATGTTTTTTACTAGGGAATTATTTTGCTCACTAATTCTGCTTAGCATTTATTATTGCTTTATATTCATCACATCTCCATGTAATTTACACATGAGACATCAGTAAAACACATTCAGGCTGTCAGGGATCCAAATTCCTTAACTGGCTTTAAAAATCATTGTGCAGCTGCTGTGGTCAACATCATTCAGCATTCATCCACTGTCATGTTAATATAGTCCCACTTCAGAGCTTCCCTCGCTTCAAGATGCCGGAGTCCATTAAGCTCAGTGGCTACTGCAGACACGCAGGAGAGGTTGGATGGATCTGGAGAAGATAAAGTCACATGGGAAAAATATTTCCATTAAGCCAGCTGGGAGAAAGGAAAAGAAACTTTGAATGCGTAGGGCTGGCTGTGTTGGCAGCCAAGCCCAGCTGCTGCCTTCCAAACCCTGGTGTGGCAGCTCTTCCTAATTTCTAACCTAATTTGTAAGTAACAGTTGAAATACAAGATGCCAGAAGAGCAACCTCCCAGTATTCCACCAAGCATGTGCTGGGTCAAGGCCCCACACGAAGGGGGACAATGTGGGTGATTATTTTTACAGCCTTGTTTTAAGGCACCAAATGCCTTAAACCCCCTCAGAGTAGCCACTGGTTCTTGCTGATGTCAGCAGGAATACTGGGTGGGAAGCCAGAAATCCAGCTCCCCCTTCGCTTCCTCAGTACCTCAGGGGGAACTTTTTGGATGGTGAGGCTCCTGACTGTGAAGTTCTGGAAGGCATTTGAGGAGGCTTTGGCATTTTGGGTAAAAGGATTGTTCTGGCCTCAGGGTTTGCAAATGTTCTTCCACCAGGACACTTTCACTTGTCTGGCATTTCTCTCAGACAGAGGTTATATGAAAGGGGATGTCATTACATTGCACCCTGCCAGCAAGATATGAAGGGGCCGTAGGATAAATGTGAATGAGGCCTTTGTATATGAATAATTTATGGCAGTCTTTTTCTGTATTTTTCTTTTAATTTAGACCACGTCATCGCACTCATAAAAAAAAGCAACAGAAGAAACGGGGCCCACTCTGCCCTTCCCGTGCAACACCACTAAAGTCTCCAGGGAGAAAGAATGGTAGGAGGCATTAGTTTCTGAGCTGGGACACCTCAGGTTGAAGTCCTGCTCTTCCACTGACCATGTTACGGGACCTTGGGCAAATATATTAGCCTATCCAGACCCCCATTTCCCCCCATGTTTGTTGAGGATAACATCTCTCCCCTTCCAGCAAAAGAGTATTATATAGATGAAACTTTCAAAACAGGGGGAAAGCTTAGCTACAACAGATGTGGGATGATTTTCCCATTTTACAAACGGGAATTATAAAATTTACAACATTTTACAAATGGGAAAATGGACACACAAATAGACCAAAATAAACCTGAAGCAAAGACAAAGTCAAAAACAGGGTAAAGGTTTGGGAGTCCTATTTATTTTAGCTCCAGTATCAAACTGACAGAGTTAAATTCCAACAGCTGTGAATTTGCCACTGGTGTTTTTTAACGAGAAATGCAGCACCGCGTGGTGACAACATGATGTGGTGCACGGGTGACTGGTTAATGCCTTTCCTATGGGAGATGCTGGGCAAGTCCCAGAGAATGGTGCTATATATGCCAATGCTCTGGATGTCCCAGGTTTTTCTTCCTCACAAGGGTGGTTTGTCCTGCCTTTCTGCACCAAAGGTTACTGCTGTGGGATATTGGAAATGATATCTTTGGAGGAAAAATTTTCCTCATGGTTTAGTCATTGTCTTTGTGCCTAGATGAGTTTTCTGAGACTGCCTTTACTGGGAGTCACAGTCTCTAGCTGTGGGCACAGAGCCCTAGTTGTCCAGCAGGCATTGGAAGAGGTGTTCGTCAAGACGTGCTGAGACATCAGTTTTTGAATAATAGAATCAGTTTTTGAAGGTGTTTACCCTCTGACACTTGTAACTCAGTGACCTCATCTAGGTTGCAAAAGGCCAACCAGCCCGGAGTAGGAATAGAGGTCACTTCAGACAAAACCTGGAGGCCACCAGCACAAACTGGCTCCTTGTTCTGGGTGAACCATACACACAAGACTTGCACTTTGCTGTGATGCCTAACCCACACTCTCCTGGGTACCATGCTCACACTGAGCATGGGACACTCCATTTGTCTGCACCCCACCTGAGCTCCCTACCTCAGCCCTCCAGGCCTCATAGGCTTACTGTGCAGCGCCTGCGTGCCTGTCACCTCACCCTCACTGGGCAGCTGGTCGCCACAAGCTCAGCTGCTCACACCAGGTGAGGTGCCAGGGCAGGGAGGCTCAGGGGTGGCTCCTGGCTGGCAGAACGTTGGCTGCCTCTACTTTCCAGCCACCCCATGGTGGAAGCCAAGCAAGAGCAGAGCATGGGCTGCCCTCTACGTTCCTCCGTCCTCTCAGAGACCTGGCACTCTCTGGAGCTGCAGCCCATGATCTCCATCAGAGATGTGGGATAGGAGCAGATAGAGGAGGCATTCCCAGGGCCACTTGCTCTGCTACTGGGGCTGCTCACAAATGATTAACCTCCTTTCCCTGCTGTATTTTTTGCCGAGTTTCTTTGCCCACCAACAATTCTCTGCTCTGGCTTTCAAGTCCAGAGTAAGCTTTCTAGTCAGCCTTCCTACTGTATTAGTTCTGAACACCTTACTAACTGTGATGAGCACAACCTGCCCAAAATAACACTTATTGCTGGGTTTGCCCTGCTGGGTCCCAGTAGCTCCTTGTGGAGAACTTCTCCCAAAATGCCCAGCAGTTACTGGTTGGAGGGGCTGCCTTTGGGTTAGGCCAGACACAGATTTGTGTTTGACTAGGCCTGATAGCAAAGCTTTTGCAACTGAAATAAACCTTAATAGTGTTTCACTTTCTTCTTCATCAACAGGAGGTTCAAGATGTAAGAGGCAAGCATTGTAAGCCGTCTACAGGATTTCTTACTGTAGGACCCAGAGAGCAGATAACCAGTATTAGGGAATGAATACATTTCACTGCTAACATGCAGCACAAAAGCAACGCTTCACGCATTTCCAAAGGTTCTTTTCTTGGTTATTTTTGATGGGTTTTTTTTTTTTTGTTTGGGGTTTTTTTCCCCTTGCACAAATTGGCTTGCTTTCATAGTGCTATTTTTATATAGTAAGATGTAACTATTTGAGAAAAATATGAATTTATACAGGTTGGTTTATTACCTAGCACTGGGGGCAGATACCAATTTAAACTAACCCTGTTATATGACATTTTATTTCCTTTGTTGTATAGAGGTCCTGCTTTATTTAACTTTCTTTTGGTTCATGCAAGTCTCCTGGAGTTTTAAACCTAGAAGGACATGAACTGTACAGTGCAATGATGTTGTGTAAGTAGAGGTGGAACTCCTTGCCTCCAGAAGTCATAGAGGCCAAGAACATAGGAAGGCTCAAAAGCATCAGACTGATGACAATAGACAACATTACCCTGAGTGGCATTTACAGATATTTTGGGTGAGTGATTATACTCAGGGCTACAGGGCTAAAGCCCTTTGAAGATCAGAACCCTTGCTGACAGCTGTGAGCAGCTGGATCAATGCACATCTGGTACTGCAAGGTGCTAATACTTGGTTTGTAGTAGTTGTGTGTGTTACGAGCCACAACACAGTTCTGATGTCATCTGGCATTTCCTATGTTCCTGTCCTTCTAATGATAAATTTAGCAAAAAAAAAAAAAAAAAAAAAGGAATGGGTTGTTACAGCTCTGACCACACGATCCTGTAGGAGTCAGCTAGGCTGCCATGCACCAGGCATTCCAACCCATCCACAGGAGGCGACTTCAGCTTGCCTGTCTGTCTTTGCACCGAAGTAAGCTGAGATTTATTCACCCTTCACCAACGATGAACTGCCTGAGGGCAATCACATCCCCGATTGCTCTGGAGATACCCAGAAGAGGATATCTGGCCACATCTTGGAGAAAAGAGATGCCTGGAGCAAGAAAGGGTCTGTGCAGTCTGTGGAAGGAGAGGTGTTTTACAGGTGTGGAAATGAAGGCCAACACTCCCAGTTCACCAGCTATCACGGGTTTGCTGGTGAACAGGATAGCCTCTGGAATTCCCTTTGCAAAGCACAGCCTGGGACAAGTACCACTCCTTGCACCGATCCCCTAAGCCAGAAGTTTCTTTCTCCTTATTCCTTCCTGTATACACAATATCTGCTACATGGTATGGAAAGACATCTGCAGCACTGCAATAATCATGTCATGCTGTGCACTGAGATCTGGGGGGAAGCACATTTGTGCAGCACAATGCTTGTGTTTGTATGTATCTGTGTTTGTATTGTAAGCAAAAAAATGTCGTGAGATTGTCTTTTTTAAGCTGGTTGATTCAAAAGAAATCTTCCCTCTTCCCTGCAGCCTGTGTCAGGAACACTGAGAGGAGTGTTTCACACTCCTTTTTGTGGTAGGCATCTTTAGTGCCAAAAAGGTGCTTTGGCTATCCAGGGACTCCATTATTTCCATGTGGATTCAGGTAAAAATCTTTCCTTTCTGCAAAACAGGGCTATTGCAGAGAGGCCTTCAGCTGGGAACACCTCACCTCATTTGCTTTAAAGCAGAAACAAACTGCTGTGCCTAAAATATTTGTATTTGTGATTTTGACATTCCTTTTGTTATCATTACCAGCCTGGTGCTTTAAGTATATTGTGTCTGTGTTTTGAAAGGTCTGGTACCACTGTACTTGATGAGATTGGAGTTTTGATTTAATATTAGCAGGATCAGATCCTCTCCTGGAAGGGGAAGGAAAGAAAGAAATTGTAAGAGAAAAATGGAGTTTTTTCTATGTATTTGATATCCTAGGCTCCATTCCCCATCCCACACATGCACCTGCATTTGCCAGTGGTTTGCCAGAGGTGGACATGTGCGTGTCCAAGTCAAGAATGACTGCAGAAAAAGTCACCCAGGAAAGTGCATCCTTCACATGTAACTTCTGTCAAAGGACAGCCTGAGGTCTGATTGATTCCCATTGCAGAAAATGGAGAATTAAATAATCCTCTGATTTTGATTCAGCAGCATGCCCTGCTCATGATGATATGGGCCATGATAGTTTTGTTTCCAGGGGAAACTTTAGCATTCTGGTGAGAAGGTGGGCTAGGTAGATGTGACTGCACAGCCCTGCCCTCATTTACAGGAGCACTGAGATGGGCAGTGCTGGAACACCCCTGCCAAGCCCAGGCACCCTGCTTGGGATGGTACAGCCAGGTAGTGCAGGTACTGCAGGAAAGGGGGGCTCCTGTCAGCTTTCTCTAGGGGCTGCAGGGCTAGACTCTGCTAAAGCAAGGTCATTTGTTCCTGGGACAAATGCATGAGTAGCAGCAGGAGGAAAATTCACTCCATGAAAGAAAAGGGAGCTTGTAGAGCCAGGTGTTTGTGTGGTGCTTTGGGGGCTGCCTGCCCCAGCCCACACAGAGACTGGGCCCTGACACCTCTGTGCTGGTGATGCTTCACTTCACTTCTGTATCTGAGACCACCCAGGGCACGGGCTGCTCTCAGGGGCCAGCAGCGTGACCCTCCCTCACCTGGGTTAGGCTGAGCACATCGTGAATGCAGAGGTGACACAGACCTGGCCAGAGACTTAAGTGAGAACCTTTTGAAAGCTTTCTCTTGCTTTGGACCAAATTCAACCTTGAGTGGGAAGCTTTGCTGTTAGCCTGGCTTTATTTGCATGATGCGCTGCGGAGAGCAGCCTGAGGAGATGGGAGTGAGGTAGGGACCACATGTGAACAGGAGGAACAAGAGATAACACTGAACCATGCTGAAAAAGCAGCTTCCATGAATGTGAAATCATCATGTGGGTATTTTCAATGTGCAGCTGTCAAATCCCAGTTTTAAGAGTAGATGGTATTTATTGCTATGTCCATTTTTTATTTATACTAGCTTTATACTTTCACGTATGAATATCTTATCTGAATTCTGCCTGAGGAAGAATGAAATGAAGGGTGACTTTGATGTGTTTTTGATTAAGGTGTTTGAGCAAAGGTGACTGTTTATTTTGTAATGAAAGTTTTTTTTCAAAGATAAATATGCACATTTTGTTGAAAATGCATTTCCTATAGGAGTTTTTGTTGCCAATTTCCCTTTATTAGCCTCTACAAGGTCTTTTTCTCTGGCAACTTGTTTTGAGTGATGTGATTTATAGCAGTCATGGTTTTTTGTGAACTTATCACCTAAAATTTGATTTTTTTTTCTTAATCAACATCCCACCAAGATAATCATTGTCTGAAAACATGAAACTTTGGTTGCCACAGAGAAGAAAACATGTATCATGATAAAAGGGCTGCATGAACCTCCCATCTTTCATTCCTTAAGAACTCTGTGTTGTCAGAATGTGGTAAATACTGTACTTTATATTTTTATTAAGTAAAAAGAAGTATCTTCCCAAATAATGTGAAAAGGGTTTTGTATTTGTGTTCCTGTAAGGCAGCTTTTATGGAGGAGTTATATTATGCTTTTGAAATTACTCCTTTCATAGAAAATTTTGAAAATAAACACTTTTATATTGTTGTAATTTCTCACATAAATGTGTATGCACTTAAAATTTTCTTAATAAAAATATGTCTGAATAAAGTTTTTGCTTGATTATATATCTATTTTTTCTCCTTACAAACAAACAGGTACAATCTTCACTCAGAAAAACATTCAGATGTAGTATGTGTCCAGTTTTAAGGATGCCTCCATATAGTCCCAATGCCCAGACTCTCTGCAGGGAACCTGAGGTGAAGGGCCCATGGGTCTGGCAGGGAGCAGCAGCTTAGCACATTGAAATGTGCCATCTTCAAAAGGAAACCCTTAGCCATTTGCTCCCAAAACAGAAACCCATACTTCTTTTTTTAAATTATTTTTTACTCTTTTCTCCCCCTAAACTTGTGTCCTGCAGCAGTTGGACTCCAATGGAACTGAGAGCTGTGAGCTGGTTTTGTTCCAGCAACAGAGATGCCATCATCATCATCTGTGCTGAGGGGGGGATGAAGGTTTCCCTGAAAGCATGAGGGGTAACAGGGGATGCATTTGACAAGAGCAGATGTGAACAACACCGTCCTTGGGACTGCTTTTCCCAGGGCACAGCAGGGTCAATATTCAGTTTGGAGAGGGTTAAAAATTAGAGGCTTGTAGAACTGACCTGAGGAGCTGCCAGGTATAATCCTAACTTGGAAGATGTTGTAGGGAAAGTACTGTGAGTTTCAAAACCACGAGCTGAAAACTGGTCTTGGTTCAGTGCATCTCCCCATCTGCAAGTTCTTATGGCAAGGGGAAACTGTTTCCTGGGGTCACCCTGCCCCTCCACCCTGCCCTGCTCAGCAGCTCTGTACACCTACTGCAAGACAGGTGAATCCCAGCCCCATGTACAGCTCTGGATGGAGCAAAGCTCAGGGAGAGCTTAATACAGCAGTGGAACAGTGCTTGAGCTTTTTCCAGCTTCTTGCTTAATAAAGATTTCTTGTTCAAGTTGATGCAAGGCAAAAGGCAAAAAAGGGAAAAAGGAAACTCAGATGACTCATGACCCCTTTGCAAATCCATCAATTATTTACTAAGACATTTATGAAAAACTAGTAGGTAATTGTGAGTGCAGATGGTCAGTGAGAGATTCCAATGCGAAATGCATTGGAAGTAATTAGCTACAAAATTCCACATTAATATTAAGCAGAGGCCTCATGTTCTGTGGAGCACTTTGCTGTGCCTTTCATCAGGTCTTTTCTCTCAAATGTGAAAGTTTTGGTTCTTACTCCCTCAGCGAAGCATCACTGCAATGTGAACTGCCTAGGAATTGGAGGTGAGCCCACCTTATTAGCACATCTGGCTCTCTTCACAGGCAGCTTTCCAATATTAGCAAGCTGAAGGAAATCAGCTGCATTCATGGCCTCAGCCATCCTGACACTAATTATGGGCTGGATTGATAGGTCCTGGCATGGTATAGGTCAGAGGACAGCATGGTAAATGCTTCTGCTTCCTAGGACCACTGAGGATGTTACCACTGAGGGTGCTACCTTGGATGCTACATGATAAGGGTAACACCCAGCTTCTAGTGAGATTTCCCTGTTTTATAAAGCTCCTTGCTCTCCAGTTGTCCCAAGAGTCTTTCAGACAAAACAAATATGTAGCATTGAGACTAGCAAAGGCAAAATGAAGGAAAAAAAAAAACAAAAACGAAAAACAAACAAACAAAATCCCTAAGATCTAGAAGCTGAAGCAAGAGAAATTCAAACTGAAAACAGATTTTTAAGTGTGGAATTGATTAGCCTTTGGAACACATTCCCCAACAGAGGGGGAAGGAAAGCCCTGATCCTTCTTTCCTATGCCTTCCTGGCAGGGCTGAAGGCCATTGTGGTGTTAGCCATACATACCTTGCTGTGCTCTCAGGGGACACAGGGTGACGATCTCTTACCCCTGTTACCAGTAGGGTCAGACACGGTGAGCTGAAGATCCCTCTGGCCTCAGAAATCTGTATGCAGAAAGCCCCAGTTCCAGGGCAGCATTCCTCAGCCTGTGTTATTAATAACACCTGCATATCATCAGCCATCCCAGCTCCTTGGACCAGGGCTGAGGATGACTCCAGCTGTTGCACAGGAGACAGATTTGGGGTAAGAGGCTTCTATTTCTGGTCATGAAGGTTGCCCTCCAGCTGCAGGGGAAGAGGCATGGCAGTGAGAAAAGTCTGCAGCCCTGTCCTGGGTCCATGCATCCACCAACTTTGGGAGGAGAGGTTTGCTCACAAAGGTGCCCTCTGGATCACACTGCTTACACTGGTGATCTTTCTTGTAGGAACTCCCTGAGTTTATGTCTTTGTCCTTTCTGTCTCTTGCCCTTATTTGTCCTTCATTCTCTCCTCTGGCTCTTTTGGGGACCTTCTCTTTCCTCTCAAACCCAGTTTTCCCAGCTAAAGGGGAAAACCTTGGTGATTTAAAGCCATTCTCTGCACCTTCCTCCTGCTTTCTAATCACTGCATTTCACATCTCTCATGTGCTCCCTAGCTAGGGCCAGCCATCCATTTCTAGTTTCTGAAAGAGGTGGAAGGACATTTCCATTCTGTCCTTTGCAGCCACTGTATCAGAGCACGATGCAGGATCCTCCAGGATCCTTTTGGAGAGGAGCTGCATGACTGCTGCTGTGGAGCTGTGTGTCTTTTATGCTCTTGGGATCATTTCCAGCTGTGAAGTCCAATCTGTCTTCCCTGCCTGCACCAGCAACACCCTTTGGCTCGTCATCATGTCTTTAGCTCACATGGTTCCCAGGTCCTGCTTCCACAGCCAGCCATTCCTCACAGTAGCTGCCAAAGAGAAATGGTGACCTGTGACTGCTTCCAAGGAAAAATGACCTGTGACTGCTGCCTTTGCACTGCCAGCACACGGAGCCAATCCTGGGCACACCAGCTTTGTGAGCTGGCAGAAGCAGCGTGCTGTCTGAGGCTTTCAGCAGACCCAAGCCAGACCACCATGGCTGGAACAGAAGGTGAAGTCTAGCCCAGTCTGCTGAGAGGTGGAAGAGCACAACCTAAGAACAGAAGGACAGAGGTTTAAAATGCTGCTGTAGCTCACTGAAATCTCCAGAATGTGTGTGATTCTTCCACCCCAAAGATCCACAATCAATTCCAGCTGCCTAGCGTGCTGCATGATTTATTGCCGTGCCTGCAAGGTTTTGGCTGTGGTAAAACATGTTTGTATGTTGCCTATAAAACAGCAAATCTGAAGAAAGGGCTTTCTGGATGTGGTTCAGAGTGTGTAACAAAACCCAGATCGCCAATTCCTTCCACACAGTACCACAGCAACGCAAACAGCCAATACAAGTTTAATATCTAGCACACTCTATCTATTTTGCCTCTGAGCACCAGAGAGAGAGACTTAAAACACTGCAGACTATACTATTCCTACACAAAGGGTAGAGTACTTAAGGCAGCAAATGCCAAGCACCATTACATAGCCTAGTGCATCTTTTCTAAATTAAAGCCTTTCCACAGGGCAGAGCAATAGCAAAATAGTTCTGCACAAAATATGTGGAAAAGGAGAAAAAAGAGAGGAAATACGTCTTTCTTTCAAAAAATAAATACTATGAATGCAAATATAAATCCAACTGTCTAGGCCAAATCACAAAAGCAGCTGGCTGACTACCATTCATGCTAAGTGTCCATATTCAAAATTAAGGTCCTCATAGCTTTCAGTGCTTTCTGCAGCCTGGTTGTTCCAATGATTCTCCTACTGGCATTATTGCCTGTTAAGCAGTCTACCCCAGCCCAGTTACTGAGGGATTGGTACCGTGCTCCCCACCCCCTGGGACCTCCAGAGCAGACATCTGGTCTTGCTAAGAATGGGGGAGGGAGATTCCAAGGGCATTTCCAGAATATATGTGTTGTACAAGCCTGCAAATTCCTACTCTTGCATGTCATCTCCCAGTCTGATTTTCTTTCAGTCCAGGATTATTTTAATTCAGACAAGGCCATATTATGCAGGAGTTGCACAAACACAGAAGGATAAAGACAGTCCCTACCTGATAGATTTCATGGTCGAAGATCTGCTCTGCCAGGTTCTTAATCAAGCATTTTTGTTGCAAAAAATGCAAGGCTCTATCTCTTCGTTGGGTGTTGGAGAAGAATCACACCAGACGCAGGATGGCTTGTCAAGCAAGCAAAGAACTACAGATCATCTAATTTCACATTCCCTTCTTTCAACATATGCAAGATTTGGTTAACAGGAAGTTTTTCAGTTCCTTGGAGGGGTGGAATATTGTGAAAAGATAATGGAGAAGTGACAAGGAGAAACAAAGCTTCCCAGTGATTCAGTTCCTGGAGATAAAGCCCAGAGAGGGATGCTCTGCAGGCAGGAGCTGAGAAGGTCTGAGCTGCGCAGCTCGCTCCACAGTCCCCACGTGCCTTGCTCCCATGTGTGCCTTAGCAGTGCTCACCCCGTGCATCACTGCTTTGGGCACCCAGCCGTCCTGGCTCCTCCCCTCCTCTCCCTTCTCTTGCCCTCCCTCCTTCCTACTTTAAGATTTCTCTTTCCTGCTGCCATGTTATTTGCTGCTGACTTGGGACATTCTTTATGGCCTTTCATCAGGCTTCCCATTGCTCACACACTCTGTGTTGGTTTGGCCTGCTCTGCCTTTTGTCTGTGCAAAAACAAAAGCTTTATCTGTTGCCCAGAGACCATGGTGACTTCAGGGCTTTCCCAGTGCCAGCACCTAATTGCAAACAAATGGAAGTCCCCAGCTACATTGCCAGCAATACTGGGTCTTGAGTGGGAGGGCCTGATTCTGCTCACTCTGTGCTGTGGGACTGGTGAAAGGCTTGTGATTTACAGCAGAGTATCTCACATTGCCATCTGGCCTTCAGCAATCTAGCTGGCTCGGGAGAGAAGGCAGAAAAGCCACACAATTCTCGTGACATGGATATCTCTCATGTCTGGTTTTCCTTAATGTCAGTGTGTAAAGGGGAGTTGACTGCAATGAACAACCTGTACACTCAGAAAATCCTCACAGAGCACAGAAGCAAATGGCACAACATTTCCACTCCATTTCCACCTCTCTTTGAAATCCCCCAAAGGGATCATCCCTCCATGGTGATGACTGCCA